TCTCTCTCTCTCTCTCTCTCTCTCTCTCTCTCTCTCTCTCTCTCTCTCTCTCTCTCTCTCTTCGTCGCGGTCTTCTTGCAGGTGCGCAGTGGCTTCCTCCACCTCGGGTCCGCTATGGCGGACTGTGTCCCTCGGCGGCCACCTTCGCTATGGGGCTTCAGGCCCTGCACACAACTTCGCGCATGGAATAGCGGGTACCAGCTCCGATATCAATGCAATCAGACTCGTCTCGTTCACACTTTTCATGCACGTGAACAGCAGCACAGCAAACTGGCGACATGCGCCCACACAGTACTCAGAGATATGGCTTCCAGGTAAGAGTTCACTTCCACTGGCTATGGCGACTCAGCGCCCAACAACTCACTGTTCAGTGTTCACACACCGGATCACCCTGGATATCCCACACACATCACTCTGCACACTCACACAACACACACACACTGACTACAGCTATGGCAGCGATAGCTGCCTCTACGCTATCGCTATGCTTCGCTCTTCTGGCCCACTTCGACTTCGGGCATACTGCAGACCTCCTCGCACAAGACGCTGAGGCAGCGCTTCCGCATGGCTTCCGCAGGAATGAATGAATGGCTGTGCGCGGCCTCTTGATTTATACTTCTGTGACTCGTTGGTCTGCCCTGTTACCCCGGGCCCACGGTGTACACAGTCCCAGACGGTACTTGCTTGACTGGACCGGACTGACTGGACTGGGACTGCTGACTTTGCACGGTGGACTTCCACCACTTGCCCACTTGCCTGGACCTACAGTGGGCTGACTTCCGAAAGGCCACTTCTGGAAACATCTACTTGGCCTTTCGGTACTGTAGCAGCTACGACTCTGCCCTTTCAGGTAAGTAGCAGCTACGACGTTGACCTTTCCGAACGTCTACAGCTAAGACCCCTGGACTAGCTAGACTCCTACCCGACAGGTCTACAGTTCGAATCCCCTGTACCCTGTAACCTACGATGTCCTACCTATCACTGGTGGTCCTACAGGTCGCAGGTTCAACTCTACGGTTTGACACAGGTACTGTAAACAGGTAAGGTGGGGAACTAGGGATCGAGCCCTGGGATCTGCATCAGCTACAGCGAACTGGTGAATACCGTTTCAGATGCACTTCTCTTCAGTGAACGTTCTGTTGATGAAGCTCCATGGCCGCTCCAACGCTCCGACGCAGCAGCAGGCACGTAATCACCACTGACCAAGCCACTTCTTCTTCAGCCTACCTCCCCTCCTTCTTCAGACTTCTTCCCGCTCAACTCTCTCTCATATCTCCGCTTCTCGCCGGCCTTAATCGTTGCCAGCGATGTCCAGTGGATGCAGCGAGCTACTGCTCCGATACCAGTTTGCAAGGAACCTTTCAGTTCAACACCAATGAGCGCGCACAATCACACAACATGCATGAATGAGATCAAGGCGAGAGAGATGAAGACCACGTAGCGCAGCTTTAGAATTCCAACAAATTATCATATAAGCAATTAGGAGTTCCAGTCACAAGCGCTCAACGCGCTCAACAGCGCTAACCTAAGTAACCAGTATCTCCACCCAGGTAGGTATTTCTCCTGATACTCTTCTCTCTTCTTTCTTGGTCTTCTCTCTGTCTACTACCTCCCTGTATCTTCTCTCCCTATTTGCATGCACTCTCACTCCCTACTACTCAAGAACCAACTCTGAATACACCCACTGCTAACTCTACTAACCCCTCTAAGGTCTTATACTGACTACTAGCACTGGCGCAGCTATGGCTGCCTTCCCCCTGCCAGCACTGGGCAGCTATGGCTGCTCCCTCTCTCTCTCTCTCTCCCTCTAACAGCACAGACCTCTGGCTCAGCGCACCGCCCCTCACAATAGCGCACAAGTGCACCAGCACTTCCACACCTCATGCGAATTAGCAATCTGCCGAATGAGGAGGCTGGCCAGTCCTTATATTGTCTTGGACCGAGCTTCAACTCGTGCCAGCCTCTGCTTCTTGGGGCTTGACCTGGTTCCGGTACCACATCCCCGCGGCCTGTTTGCTTTCAAATGTCAGGGCCAGGTACCTTTCCCGAATTTTCATTGGTGTGCTGCTGCTTGGGCCTTTGAGTCACGACTTTTCGATTATGGCATATGGTTTTTGACTGTGGACTGTGACTCCGGCCTCTGGGACACGACTCTTGCCTGTGGAATTGCCCTTTTGCTCGTGGATGTGACGTTCTAATATGACTCTTCGTTATGAGACGTGATTTTGCCCCTAGGATGTGACTGTTTGCCGGGTGCCTGTTGGACTTTGACTGCTAAGGTACCCGACTGTGACTTCTGAAACTAACCGACTAGGCCTTTCTTGGCCCAGGCCTCTGACCCTGAAACTCGAATTTGGGGTCTGAATCGTGGAAGGCCTTTCAGAAGAGACAACAGCCCACTCAAGTAAGTACACAATATGCAACTTCAACAGCAATACACAGGAATGGAATACTGCCACGTCAGCAGCAATAACACAATACATCCAATCGAAGTTAGCTGCTGCTTTTCTCATCTTTGTTCCTTGCAGGTGCGTGTCTGGCCAGGCATTTATCCAGGTGCGTGGCACTACAGCAATGTCTGCTTGCTGTACCGCCTGCCTGATCCCACACATGCAGGGCATTCTCTACACCAGCCTGACCTCCAGTTGCCATGTCAGCGATGCTTCGTTCCAGCAATGTGCCTAGTCAGCAACGATGCTATCTTCAATGGCTGTGTGCCACGTCAGCCTTGGCCTCTCTTCAGTGGGTCTGTGACGTCAGCATGAGGTGTCAACCTCGTGAGCAATGGTGTACGCCACATCAGCAGGGATGCGCTATAGCACTTGCCTGAGCAGCGGACACAGTCCACATCAGCAATGGACCCAGACACGTAAGGCAGCAGCAACCTAACTTTCCAGTGCCACGTAAGCACTCCATGGCAACTCCTACTTGTGGTCTTGCCAGTCTCTCTTAGGTGCCACGTCAGCAGCATAGTCTGCCACATGGCACTTTGCTGCCTCCCGCCGACTGTGGAGTATCACTTCAATAGCGGTCTTGAAGATGCCGTACTCTTCTTTCCACGGCGCACTTCAACACCATCATCATCAACAGCAGCATCTCACTCGTTGTCATCATCAGCAGGCGGCGAGGTAAGTGGATATGTCTTTGGTACCAATGCAATAACCCACTCAAATATGCCCATGTCGTCGGCCAAAGGGGCCACCCGCAGGCCACGAAACGGTCCTCGGGCCTACTTCCGACAGTGGGGAACAGAACCCCTGAAATGTGGCTTCAGAGGCCCTGCGCCTGACAGTTGACCGAAGTCAACTGTATGTCGGGATACCGAGGCTCACGAGTCAAAGTCTTCA